ACGTGTTTCGCTATACAATAGCTTATTCAAACATAAGGTTGATGCTTGTTAAACCCTTATAGTGAAAATCATACAATAAACTGTATTGATTATTATTTTTATATGGATTTTCATCAAGTATCGGCCAGTTCTATTCCACAATTTATTTTGTGAAATGGATCGCAGTTCACATCGTAACGGTGAAGAATTCGCGACACTCTATTATAAAATGAACTGCGGAAGGTTAAAAGTCTCAATGAAATAAATTTGGTAGTTTTCTAATTTGTATGAGAATTCTACACTCAGGAATCGCTTTACCAATATATGAGAATCTCAGATGTGTCAAAATTGTGAGAGGGCTATTAGTTATTATAAAAAAACAAAAATTATTCCACATTAATCGCCAGCATAGAAAGTTGGATTGTATTATTAGAGTCAAATTATGATACTTACGAACATATGAGACTTTTTGAAGGCAGTTGATCCTTGTGACTGACGATAGTGTCCTTAACTGCAGTACATTCTGGCGATTTGTTAGCTTCTTTATTCATCACACAAGGATTGAACAGTTCTGGAATTGAAATCAATGTATGGTATCTAATCAAATGTTGAAATATTATTTGACTTATTGTTGGCAGTTTTTTCTGTAAAGAAGTCATCCTGAGCATTCATCCGTGAAACTAGCGCTATTTTTGGGAATCCATGATACGTTTATAAGCAAAAATATATGCAGTCTTGCAATATACGAGACATTATAATTTGAAGCCTCAAAGAAATGAACGAATGAATATTCTTGCAGACAACCACAATCAGCTCTTCAACAGCGATATATAGATTAGTCTGGGAAAGTCCTGAAGAATGATACTGGTGGGAAAATTATATTGAGTATTCAGTAAGACACTGTAGTATCACAAGCTACTGCTTGATGAATGTGCTAGCCACAACATAGATGTGCTCCAAATGAGCTTTGGCGGTGTCTTTGGTGGAAATATTAGGAAAACATACTCAAAACAGGATTACCTACGGATATTTAAGCTGGATGCAGTACTATTCAGAAGAGTATGATGAACATCCAACATAAACAAAGAAAATGATCGTTGAGTTGGAAGTTACGAAAACACGAAAAGAAAAACGAAGTTATCCCATGAAATTGTATAGTGTTTTTCGGAGACTTGGATGAAGGCTGCTCCAAAGCAGCAGAAAAAAGTGTGAGAGAAGAGTTTTCAAAACCGCAATCTTTTCTGATGATTTTTATTCTTGACTCCAATAATATATTATATTTAATACTTGGAAATCAATTGAGTTCAACTGAATTATCAACTTACCCAATATTTCTTCCACTGTGGAATTGCATGCCTGGTCTATAACAACCCAAATAATTTTTGACAGCATAGCTGGAAGTTCTTTGGATTCTTCTGGCAAACAGCTAGCGATTGCTTCTACTCCTGGTTTAGTGCATTTTTGTCCATTCTTTCTGAGCAGAGAGCAGAATGTTTCGGATCCAAGTTCGATTTGTTCGATACATTCTCCAATTTCTTCACCAGCACGCTAGAATTGATTGAGTAAAGTGAACATACACTCAAACTATGAATCTCTAAAAAATTTTCTTATGCTTATTCTGTAAGGTACAAAAATTTATCAACACTCAGTCGTTGATTATGGTGAAAAAATGTTTTATTTGATAGGTTATAATGCTTTATTGCTTAGAAAAAAATAATTTGAATCGGTACAGAATATTTCGACCTAGCCGTTTCGACCTCGACTATTTCGACTTCAGGTAACCTTCAACCCCGAACGTTTCGAACCTGTAAGTGAAACCTATTTTCAACAATGTTCTGTATCAGCCCCATGATAACAATTCTCCTCAACAACTTACATATTGAGGCGTAAACAAATCACAAATATGTGTGTTGAAAAAATGACAACAATCACTCTCGGTGGTCCTCAAAGCCTACGTAACTCATGCAATCGGTCAAATTCAGACTAATTTATGCGCCAGTCCTGGAAAATTGGGCGTTTCTTGTGCGCTTCACCCAGAGAAGCCGTAGCGGGCATTTGAACGATGTTATATTCCACACTCACTCCTTTCTCATTGCTTTTCCATTATATACTTTATTAAAATTTTATTATAATTTTCAAATATTTTTTCAAGGTAATAGCATTCTGATTAATAACGAATAAAGTAATAAAAATTATGAAATTATGAAAGTCGGGGCGACTTCATCAATTCCAGTGTCGCATTTGCTTTTTCAGCTGCAGGAAAACCCGGAAAAACCTGC